CAAGTTTGGTTGAAATTGGCCCAGCGGTTCTTGAGAAGAAGTCAAAAATGTGAAAAGTTTACAGACAGACGGACGCCGGACAAAATGTGATCAGAAAAGCTCACTTGAGCTTTCAGCTCAGGTGAGCTAATAACTTTTTTCTGGACTTTGTGATATGTACCTAAATACCGGTATTTAGGTTTCCGCATCACAATACGTACAGTGTATTACCTCCTCCCCCCCCCCCCCCAAAAAAAACAAAAAAACAAAATTGAGATATACCGGATTATCGATAAAATCACATATCCTTAAATTTGTAATAAATTTATTTTTATTGTTTATTTTAGATTTTTATTACTTGTTTGGTGTTTGTTTATTTACTTTTGCTTGTCAAAAAATTATGAGACTTATGCCCCCCCCCCCCCCCTACTGTGAGATTTGATGCCCCCCCCCCCCTTAAAAAAAAATATTGGGTGTATGTGCTTACATAATCCCCTATACCTTTTTAAAAATTATCATAGGTCCTCACTCATAAATTAATACTATACTAATTCATTCCTACTATAGCTACATATTTTTGTCCCAGCTGCAAAAAGCCATACTAAGGAATTGGAAAGGTTTTATTTTTCTATTATTTCTGTTGCCATGGGAACAGGAATCCATAGCAACTAATGAAATAATCACCGGTTTCAGTTTGCAGACACATTTATGCATGACTTTCAGAAAATTTCAAGATAATATTCTTGGCAAAACTATTTTAAGCATAAATGGAATGTCTATTCAAAAGGAGATTTACTGGCATTTTTGAACAAATATTGGGTTTGTTGAAAATCGGAAAAAAAATGATGTTTGGACAAATATATTTTACTAGAGTTTTGATATATCAAAAGGCACATTATAAATAACAATATTCCACTTGAATAATTTCTGTTGCAATTTGTTTGAGGTTTGGGTGTTTTTGAGCTAGATTGACTGGACTATTGGGTTATTTTGACCGTAGTTTTAAACAAATTTCAGGCAACTGCAAGTCCTTATTTTGAGAGATATCAATGTTAAATTTTATGACTTGAATGTAGATCTGCAGCTATTTTGGGAGATTATTTTATTGCAACCTAATTTGTAACATTTACAGGTTGTTATAGTTAATTCATTTTGTTTTCCGCTTGATTTCTGGTACTTAGTTTTTTCCAGTTAGCCCCCCTCTTCTCTTTTAAATTCTTTTTCAAAGTCATTTTTAATTTCTCCCTCTAATCTTGAAAGTTAACATTCCTTAAGGTCAAGATCTAGTAAATGAATTTAGAATGAATTTTCAGTGCTAAATCCATTATGACGTTATAATCACTTTCCACTTTCTTTTTCCTGTACTTTACGTCTCTAATAGAATTATATAGAAAATAAAGTATTTTCATGGAATTCAATTTAAAATCACATGAAAAGTAGTCCCGATGCCTATTAAATTTAACAATATTTTAAAGTAGATACTAAAAACATACATATAACCGTTTTCTGAAAAACTGTAGGCAATCTGGATACATTTTCTTTGCCTGATATGGAATAAACCCATTTTCAATACTTGTTTTCTTAATTTTTCATTGAAAATGACAGTTTAAAATATGGTTTTTCATCTTGTTTTTCAGAGGACAGCCTAGGTCCACAACTTGGTATTTATTTATATTATTACATATTTTTGAGAACTGTAAATATTTTGGTAAATTTTTATAAATTTACTTGAGTTTATATGAATATGGTGAAATAAGAGTTATTTCCCTTTGATAATATTCATGAAGTCATAATGAGTAAATTAATAGAAATATCAGTGTAATATAGATTTTATGCTAATGGAATAATTTGTGATAAATATATATCTATGTTAATGTTATGAAATATTTATTATGTTTACATGTTTTGTAGGGTTGTTTATCCACCTATAATTATACTTTCACATATTAAAAAGAACCCTCAACAACACAACCTGAGTTTTTGGAAATTTGGGAAAACCCGGTTACAAATCTACAGTGGAAGAAACAATTCAAGTATACATGTACACACACTCAACTAATTAATGCAATGCAAAGGTGATTGATGTACCAGATACACTGGACTGTGAATCTGTGATGATACTTATATTCAATGTCTGGTTTTCCAAACGATTAAAAGATAATTTTCTATGCTTTTCTATGATTTGTAGTCTTTTGGGTTCATGTCCACGAGAAGCTCCGACCGAGTTTCCGTATTTTTGTACACATGCATAGAACTATGCCAGGTTTCGAAGCAGTATGAAACAAAAAGAAATTTATTAATGTCAATGACCAACATTACATCATTGTAAAACAATACAAAGGTATAAGTAAACTATTTTTAGTTTATTACCGCGTGCGCGTCGTCTGCTTTGTAAAATGTTTAAATCCAATCTAATCCGTCATAATTAATGCATATCAATAGTAAAAACAGCGTTAAAATGGTTAAGAACAATGCATAAATCGAAAATCATACGATTTTGAAAGTTACAAAACAACATTTTATGTATTTTATTGCAAGCAGTTGTTATGCGTCTTTCCCTTCGAAAGGTTCAGGAGAAAGAAATGTGAAGAACAAACCCGACCTTTTATATACTACACTTGATATGTCAATCAAACCCGACCCTTAAAAGCCAACGTTCAAATAATAAATACTTGGGACCTATAAACTAGTATATAGGTCCCTTCAAATATACTTTTCTCGTAAAATAAAGGCATCTATTTTGTATAAACAAATAGATGCTAATATGTTGACGGTGCGACCGTTAGAGCGAGCGCAAACTCTTCTATTGTTTTAATTTAGATCGGGCTCGTCAAACCGCACGTAACATTTGGTGCGTCTAGACTCTGACGTCACATGACGTCGTATGTAAGTTACAAATACCAAGAAAAAACTGAACAGTGCTGAAAGTTAATGAAAAAAGTTACGTTTGCTATTTATCTTCAATATGTATCCAACTAATCAAGGCAAGTAAACTTTTTGTTGAACATTTGCCGTCATTCTCGCGAGAACGCAACTTTACTAAGTGATGCATTGTGGGTCAAAATTACTGCGGCAAAAATTTCTAAAGAATGAATGTGCAGTAGTCCGAATTTTTTCTTCGCCCAGGCGTTGTCGTTAGAGCTCGCAGTTACCCCCCGTTCACACATAGACGCCGCTTCTACTACGATCAAAGTGTGGTCAAAAGCGTGGCCGATCGTGACAAATCGCAGGAGGAACGTCGTGGGGTCGTCAGAAGCGTAGTATGATCGCAGTAGAGTCTTCATGATTGGAGGGCTCTACGCTCTCACCACGCTTATTTTGAACATGTTCAAAACAAGCTTAGCGGGATCGTGGCCAACAAGAATCGGGGTGAAGTCGTAAAAAGGGCGTAGTAGAAGCGCCGTAATCGTACAAGCAGCGCGGAAGCATCGTAGAGAGATCTTATCGTAGTAAAAGCGCTGTGAGAGCGTAGGAACATACCAAGCACGCTAATACAACGCTCCCTCTACGTTCGTACTACGTTCTCACTACGATATCTCTACGTGCCTGAAGATCCTACGAAGACCTACAATGACCTTACGCCGATCATATCACGACCTATCAGACTAGAGTTTGTTCTTATACCGCTAATATTTGACCAATCATCATCTGTTAACTACATGTAAAGGGTGACACTATACTTAATGATCATTTACATTTGAGCATTTTCACATCTTGTTACAGTTATAATAATTGAAAATGCCCTAAACCATGTGGTAAAAACTGCGGTCGCAAAATATGTATCATCGTTAAAATTATACTACAAAAATCTGCAGTTTCAAGATATATTTACATCATCATCAAAATCGTATTAGAAGCGTAATGCAATCGTAATATGATCGGCACCACCGTAGCGACATCGCGGTACAGTCATCTAGGTCTGTGTAGCGTCGTAGTATGGTCTTCAATGTCGTAGTGGCAGCGTAGCGTAAACGCACTAAACACGGCTGCTTGTCGGCAACGGTCTGCGTAACATCGTAGTAGAAGCTTGTTAGCAGCGCGTTTGAGGTAGGGACATCGTAGTACGGTCGTAACGAAGACCATAATTTGCCAAATTGCTCTGTTTTGACGCCGATCGGCTGCTATCTGCCCCGACCTAAAAAATTTTCAGATCGTGGCTTGATCGGGATGATCGCCGTAGAGTCGCAGCTCTGTGTGAACGGGGGTTTACGAGCGTCGCTATTAATAGCAACCATTGATTATTTTAGTTTATTTTGAGTCGATAAAACGTTTAAGCAAGAGAAAAAAAAATGAATTTTTTTTAAAAGATTAGAGCTACCTGCATTCGACTCAAAGCTATTGAAAACATTGATTATGCACCGACTTTCTCTAGTGTGAAAACACAGTTACAACTTGGAATGCAGCTTTCATAATGAGAAAATGTTGTTAGAAATCAATTTGAAGCTCTTTTCATTTTGCGAAATAGAAAAAAAAAACGATAAACAATAATGTTAATAAATGGTTTAATCGGTCGGTGAATACTCCGAATAAACAGAACAACAAAACGCATTTACAAACTTTCCAAATCTCATCTTTGAGAAACTGTATAGAAAACTGTGATCATTCAAGAGAAAAAGATGCAATAACATGATAACAGTTTTATCAATATCAATAGTTTATAATTAGCCATATATCACTATTGCCTTAAAATGCTTGTTATATTCTCCCTCACTTCGTGCGTCCAAATATAAATTAATGAAGTGCTAAATGAATAAAACACAACACATGTTAAGTAGGAACGCTGCTCGCTAGTGCTTTTATTCAATTCTAATACATAACCACTTTATGAAACCAACTGTATTGCCCAACTTCATTACACTCCATTGCATTACTATCCTCCATATGTCTTACAATCTTTAAATCATAGCGAGCAAGCTTAGGGTGCCGTGCTACCGCATGGCCTTACTATTTATACCTTATATAACCACGTGATTTCAGAAGAAAGCTTTTCGAACACATACCTCACATAATTTTAAGTTTCTTAATAAGCAAAAAATATAGTAATTTTATAACTTCTGCCAATCTAGGCTAACAATATAATAATATAACAATAACTTATTTACAAATTAACAACAAAATTAAATTGAAACTCGAGCTGTTTTGATGTAGAAGTACATGAGATATCAGTTTATATTAATGGCGCACAGTAGACATAGGATAAACGACAGACAAGAAGTAAGAACACAACCATGATGTGACAGAACATTTCCTAAAAATCTCCATGAATGAAGCATCAAATTCACAATTCTACGTCTTTGGCACTTGTACAAAATGCCAAAGCAAAAGGCAACAGTTTCAAATGGAAAACAAGGATACCAAACCAGTACCAATTTCCACCCAGCATGGCCCAATCCCCATAGTATAGGTCATTATAACATACAAGTGAAATAAAAGAGATAATCTAATAACAAATGAATCTTGGCAAAAATCCCTGGATAAGAAATCCTGCGGCACTATATAATATGTATGATTTAATTCAGTGACAATGGATATATGCAAAGTAAAACGTTCCACAAAATATGGAATAACATTTGAGCAATATTTACAAAGTTATGGCAAACACTTATTAGCTTTCAACAAAAGCTATTCATTAAATAAATGAATACTGATTAATAATGAGATCATATTTGTTAAAACTGACATAAAACATACATTTACACCAGAACATTTGAGCTTTGACTCGCTATAATTAGAATTGGCAGGGAATATTGGAGTTCTCCGGTTCCTGATATCAACTGAACTCCTACTGGTTTCAGGTCATTGCTAGGCAAAGTTGAATTTGTTGTAGCCGTCGAAGTGGGGACTACTGTCACAATGTGTTCTGTTTTACCACACAAAGGCAGGTTTGTAGAGCCTGAAATAAACAGTACTCCTTCCTAATTTTCCTTATTATTCTTTGTACCTTTGATCAAATTAGTGAATTAAAGTTATGGGGTTTTTAGTAGATTGATAGCTACTTTTAATTTAATAATCAAAGTCCATGCCTTTTACATTGTAGTTGGTAATGAAATGTAAATCATTGGTTTCACTAGCAGTTAAAGTTAAAACAGTCCAATAAGTTTTTCGAATTCTCTTTCACTTAAAATTGAGTGTGTCAAAAATATGTTTTAAAACTAATTTGATGAAAACATATACATGTATACGAATTAAGATACGCCAGGAAAGATTTCTATACGAGAAACACCAATACATGACATTTATTTTAAATATTCATTTTGAATTCGACGTGAAATACGTACCAAAATTCTCAGAGTTTACTGCATCCTTACTACATTTGTAGGCATACTGCTTATTTTCACTATAAGTGACGCATTCCATTTTTGTCCTGTCACAGTCTTGTAAAGCAGTAAAAATTGTGGCATTTTGTACTCTATCACATATTCTCACCATCTATGTGTAACATTAGAAAAAAAATTCTTTTTTAAAATTATTTATTTTACTTTAAATTATTAAAAGAATGTAAAATAATGCTAAGAAAAAAAAATTTTTTTAAAGTAAATTTAGTGCCTTTTGCATGTGATTCTCACAAAACATTCCGGTATAACCAGGTAGACAATCACACTGTATATTGGGAGCCATCACATTTCCTGTTATGTTACAATTTAAACCGCCACCATTGATACACGGTCCCTTGTTGTTAAGGCTGTGTTTCTCACAATCTGAACCTGGTTATATATAACTAAGTTACATGTACAGCTCAACGCACTTTTTAAACTCACATGGTTTTTCGCACAAATTAAAGTCACATTTTTCTTGCAATAAAATTTAAAATTATCGACCTTCAGTACGATACATAACCCTTATATTATTAAGTATATTATGTTAAAGGCGCATATTCTCTAAAATCATTATCTTAAGTTTCTAAAAACTCAATCTTTAAAAATGGAATTTGTTTATAAATTGTGTGATGTTACATGTGTATGATTCTACTGTAGGTGTTTACAAATGAATTAATCAAGCTTTCTTGTTACTATTTATTTGAAATGCTCAAATTGATTTATTACAATTGAGTACTTTTCTAATTACTTTGCACATTTTCCATACTTGTCTTGGTTTTGTCGAAATACAGCACCGAAAAATGACAAAACTGCATAAAGAAACCATTCAAAGGATAGGGTAAGAAAGTATTGTTTATCTTTTAACATAGTAAATTGTTAGTTTTGAAAAGAAAATTCTTTTACATTCACGGTCTGAAACATTGAAATTTTGCTTTGGAAAGTATCTTTCATGATGCTAGATTTCAGAAAGTTAACCTGAAAAAATACCATAATTTTAACATGGAAAGCAGTCGAACAGATGAGAAATATTACTATCATCTTGCATCTTAGTGTCATATTCATCTACAGAGAATGCAGAAGTTACATGAACAGTATTCTGTATCAAGCAAAGGCAAATATATGCTTTAAAATGAACTGATACAAAAAACGGCTGCATTTTACGAG